TAGATTTTAACATCGATGCTACTTCATCAACACCGGGCCAGTGTGAGCACGTGTATCAATATATTAGTGTCGTGACCAACATACAAATGGTGAGGAAAGACTGCTGATTGAATGAGGCAGTGGAAGTGGAAATTCCCGGTCCTGGTGAGAATATAACGAACCACAAGGTCAGTTTTCTTTATGTGTATACCTACCCGTTCACCTTGGGTCCTGACAAATCTTCTAAGTCTTCTCCCCTGGAGGTAGACCCGGTCATCCTTGACTTATGTGACAAGTACCAAATGACGCTTGGCCAGATCTATCCTTCTTTCTGAAGGATAGTATTGATGCTCCACCATTTTACCTAAGGGGTTTGGGGGTGAGTCTTTGACCCTCAACCATTTGATCAGGATGTATAGTCCTTGATTTTATCGAGGTTTGATCAGGCTCCGCCATCGATAAAAAAAATCATTCTTTTTGAGCATCGGCGAGGGGAAGGCCCGAGGGTGGATGAGCAGATTTGTCCGGGTGAAGACCTCAGATATTAACCCGACCTAGAAGATGCCTTTTCTGGAGAGATGGAACACGCAACATAAGAGACTTTCCCTTACCCTTTTTTACAACTTTTCTTTGAACTAACGACCTCTCTGGCTTCTTGCAGCCGCTATTTGGTATCCCGAGGCGATTATGTATTGGTCGGGATAGATTGGGCGGTTGGACAAGGCATTCCCATATCTTGCTCGGTCTTGGACTAACCTGGACAAGAAGCGATGGGTGGCTAAGAACCATGGTAAGGTTTCTTTGTCGCCTACGCCGTGTACTTGGGTTTCTTCCTGAGCCCTTAGCGAAAGCATCTTGTGGTAATTGTGCTGGTGCAAGTCTTGGAAAGAATATGCAGATGAGGCCGCCCCCTGGCGGCGAAGTGGAGGCATCGCAGCCCCACAAGGGTAAAACGAGAAAAGGCAAGGCAATTGTCACTCTTCCTACGTCAAATAAAACCAGGTCACTCGAGCATCGAGCTGCTACTGGAACTTCTGCTTCAACTTCAGAGGTGAATCCTGACAACAAGGAAGAGGATGACGATGAATGTCATCTAGAGCGGAAGACGAGGTTGGATGTGAAAGCCTCGCAGGTGCCTCGGTCGGAGGTTGCTGAGTCCGAAATGGCTGACTTTGGTCGGTCTCGTGAATCAGAGACCCTCGAAGAGGGTATTAATGCGGCTTCAAATCATGCAACTGAATTCGATACAGTTTCCGCTGAGGGGACTGCTGCCATCGACCCTGAAGGGTCGGGTCCCGGAGCCTTTTAGGAGTATGGGTTGCCTTATGGAGAAGTCGACGACCTGAACAACTTCTTCTCATGCTTCCAGGTCTTGTCAGGGGAACTACGGGATGCTCAAGAAGTGGTCGGCACCAAAGTGGGGATTCCTCTCCAAGGGGGAGGATCTATTGCCAACATCTTTGATGGTGTTAGTGATAGTGCCGATCTTGATGTTCCAGGCACCGTCAAAGTGGTATAGAAGCTCATGCAGCAGGTGACAGCCATTTCTCGTGCATTTCTTTTATCCTCGGACATCATCCCTTGTCTTTCTAACTTATCCGCTATGCCGCAGTGCAATCAGATGTACGATCATGCCATCCTTTGACTCCACGAGGAGATTTCTTATCATGAAAAGGAGTGTAAGAAAGCTACCTCGATGCTGCGAGATTCGGAGGCTCGCTCTGCCCAAGGAGGCAAAGAACTAGGAGAGTTCCGAGCTACTTTTGAAATGGAGCTTCAAGAAAAGGCCAACCTTGCCGCACAGGTATTTTGCCTTGCTTGTACTTAACTTATGTTCCCGTGTTTCGACATAAAATTGGTTCACCTTTCTCTTTTAGGTCGAGCAGAATGGTTCACAGATTGAACAACTAAATACAGAGATCTTCGGGCTGAGAGAGCGAAATGAATTTGCATCGGGGGAAACTTTGCTTTCACGATTTAACTTTTGACTCTTGACGTTGGCCTATCAAGACCTGTTCTCGAAGCAATCGGGATCCTGAAACTGGCCATGCCCCGGGGTTAAATCAACAGCTTCTCTCGGATCGATGCTCGTGATGTCAGGGATCTCCCCGAGGCCTCGCGGGGTAACAATATTTGAATGATCCGATAAAAAAGGGGGCCCGGGATGATTTTGCCATTACGTTTCCCTAGGAGAGGGTGACGTTACGCGGCCAGAATTAATTGGCCCTCTTGGGTAGGCGGGTTGTTGTTGCTTAGCCCCTATATATTCATTCATCCGTCTTTCCAACGGTGAATTTGCTGCTTTGAAAGGCTATCTCTTCTGCAGAGCCTGGCGCTTTGTGCTAGTCCTTCCTTTCCCTTATTTCTAAAAGGAAACTTTTTTTTTGCTCAGAAGATCATCTTTCCCCTCCTATTTTATCGTACCCATGACTGCTATGTCGACGTCCAATCATCGGGTGGAGGAGAGCTCCTCCTGTGTTCCATATTTGGTTAGCGCCAGCGGCTCGCCTCTGATGTCAAGGAAGCGAGGCTCGAGATGCTCTGCCTCAAGGAGAGCTGTCATGCCGGGGAAACCTCCCAATGTTCCGGGCAACCGAGATCATGTGTCGAGGATTATTTCATTAGTGGGAGAGGAAAGCCTCGAGATGATCAGAAAAGATTGCGGATGGGGAGAAGGCGTTATAATACAAGTGATGTGCCGGAGAATTTCGGCACATTTCAATACTAATTGTTTAGATTTTAGCTTGTTTTAATGCAGTTATCTCCGTTACTTATGTAGTTTTGTTGTTTCTGCAGTACATAAGGATTGAGAACCCAAGAACATGGAAATGGAAGCAAAAAAACAAGTAAAGAGCAAAATGTAGCAAAAATACTGGTCTGCGATACACTATGCGATCGATCACAGATCAGACATGCGAGCCACAGAATGCACGTCAAATCGCAGACAAAAGCATAGATCTGGGTTAAATCTCAAGTCAAGAATGCGGTCCATTATGCTACCGCAGAATCAACATGCGAGCCGCAGAGTGAACCGCAAACAAACCATGAAGGTCACTGAAGGATGAAGATGCGATGCAAAATGCGATCGCATTTCTGCAATGCGATCCGCATAATTGGAATGCGAAGAAGACCTGTAAACTAGGGTTCCAGTCTGCGATGAGGATGTTCAAGATGCGGACCGCATACGTGCTCTGCGATAAGAATGCGATTGCATATCAGACCTGAAATGGCATTTTTGTCCATTTTCTGTCCCAATTTTGAGTCCACTATAAATAGTTTTATGATGTCTTTGTGGGCTCATCTTGTCTAGTCTTTGAACCTCATTCCAAGATATTAATATTCCTCACTTTTGGAAGCGGGTGAAGATTCTCTACTTTGTAAGCTTTTATGACATTAAATACTCTTTGGTTTTTGTATTGTAGTATGAGTAGCTAACTTTAAATACTAAGGTTGTGAACCCTAAATGGGTGTTATGCTAATGAGTGTTTAACATTGAATATATATATAATGGTTGGTTGATATTTGTTTACTTCGCATTCTTCATTTATTATTAGTGGTTGCAAACATTAACAAGTGCCATTAAATTCTTGCTTTGCTTGGGAAAGTGGGTTAGAATTTGGTAGATGTAAATATCAATGACTTAAGGCTTTAAACCTTGTTTAATAGAATCGCTTAGGAATAAGTGGGTTTTACTTGGCATATATTGATGGTTCTAAATTGCAACTCTTTTATATTTGGGAAAATTATAAAGAGGAAATACTACTCAACTATTGGGAAATATTGGGTAGTCACTTAGACATCATTTGCATATCAAAAGAACCTTCCATTAGAAATATATCATATTAACAGCGATAAGCATTACACTCCATTAAAGGGGACACAACCTTGGTTTATTTAATCCAATTATTTACTCTATAAATATTCCAATTAGTTGATACTTCCAAACAAACTCAATTCATACTCTTGTTACTATAAAATCATTCTCTTGTTACTGTTAACCGAATAGATATACGACTTTAGTCAAGCAACACACTATAAGAGTAACCTTTTCACACCTATTCCCTGTGGGATTGACCCCAACCTTGTTGGGTTATTATATTTGACACCGACCGCCTTACACTATTTATTAAAGTGTAATTTGAGCGTATCAAATTTTGGCGCCGTTGCCGGGGAATACGTTTTTGAAATTACTATTAATTGTGTACTTTACTTAACGTCTATTTCTATTCCATCACACTTTGCTTGCTTTGCTTGGTGTTGATAGGAAAACATGTCTGAATATGCTGATGATGCGGAGACAGAAATGAGAGATAATCCTTTCGCAGACATCGAGAAGTACATTGATGATACTAATGCCATGGTACCGCCAGCTGTTGGAGCTGCAATATTTAAAGTGGAACACAGTCTAATTCTGATGCTCAAGGCAGAAGGATTTTTCAGAAACTCCACAGATCATGATCCAACACAACACCTTAGGAATTTCTTGGGTGTGTGTGCAATGCACAAACAAAATAATGTCTCTGACGATGCCCTGAGGTTGAGATGCTTCAAGTATTCTCTAGCTGGGGATGCGAGGAAATGGCTCCAGAATCTGCCACCCAACTCTATCCATTCTTGGCCCGAACTTGTCCGGGCGTTTTTGTCCAAGTGGTTCCCGCAGAGCAAAAAGTCTGAGTTGCAGGATAAGATTTTCTTTTTCAAGCAGATACAGGGAGAGAAGTTGCATGAGGCATGGGATCGCTTCAAATTATACTTGGTGAGGTCTCCAAACCATGGTTTTCCGGAATCCATGTTGTTGGAAAAACTTTATATGGGTTTGGATCCGATGAACCAAGGCATCGCCAAGAATGCAGCTGACGGATCTTTCATGGACAAATCATTTTCAAGAGTGACACAAATCCTGGACAAAATGGCAAAGCACAACCAAGCATGGCATTCAGAAAGCATGCTTGAAAAAGTTAGAAAGCATGCTTGAAAAAGTATTGCAAAACCAAGAAAAGTCTGACCCGTCTATGAGAAACATGACCGAAGTTGTTGGCTCTCACACCGCATCTATCCAAAAGTTAGAGATGCAGATGAGAGACCTTTCAAGAGAGCAAAACACAAAGCAAAAAGGGCAACTTCCTAGTGATACCATTTCGAACCCGAAGAGTGGTGGAAGTGGCTCAACTTCTCACGTCATGGCAATAACTACTAGAAGTGGTAAGGTTTTACAAGGTGACATTGAGCAAGAGGTTGTTGGGGAAGAATCCGAACAAGAAGTTGAATCAGAAGAGCAAGGGGTTGTTGAAGTTGAAAGGGTGCCGGAAAAAGAGAAGGTGCAAGAAGTGAACCAAGAAGGGGTGAAGGAAAAGGATAAGGAGACATCAAAAGCTCCACCTCCTATTCCTAGACCTCCTCCGCCTTTTCCTCAAAGATTTATTAAAAGGGTTGATGATAGCAAGCTTGAGAAATTCAATGATATTCTAAAGCAATTGTCGATGAACATTCCATTCTTGGAGGCTTTTCAAGAAATGCCAGGGTTTACCAAATATTTGAAGGATTTGATCACCAAAAAGAGGACCACAAAGAATGAGGTGGTAAACATGACTCACAGGATTAGCTCTATTATTGCCACAAGCCCTGTCCAAAAGAAAGAGGACCCGAGAGCATTTATTATTCCATGCACTATCGGGGAGCGTGACTTTGCAAAAGACCTTTGTGACAATAGGGCTAGCATCAACTTGATGCCACTTTCCATCTACAAGCAAGTGGGATTAGGATGCTGAGGCCAACAAGCATGAGGTTACAAATGGTCTATTGATCTATTAAGCGACCGGTAGGAATTGTTGATGATGTGATTGTGAAAGTTGGAAAATTCCATTTGCCCGCCGACTTTGTAATTCTTGACTGTGTTGTTGATAAAGAGATCCCTATCATCTTTGGGAGACCATTCCTAGCCACATGAAGAGCACTCATGGATTCGGAGTGAAATGAAATTAAGTTCCGGGTGAATGATGAAGAAGTCACATTTCAAGAGAGCAAGGGTATGAAATTACCCCATGAGTATCATAGCATTTCAGTGATAGATGTGGTTGATGAGGTTGAAGATGCCGTCGAATTGAAAATGGAAGAACAATGCCTTGGTGAGGCATTGGCGGCTATCTTGGTAAACTTTGATGGTGAGGACATGGATGGGTACATGGAGTCGGTAAATGCATTGGAGGGTCTTGGATCCTATACTTACACTCCGGAAAAGCTTTCTCTTGACTTGGAGAATAGGGCCACACCTCCTGCCAAGCCATCAATCATTGAGCCACCACAACTAGAGCTCAAGCCTCTGCCGCTGCACTTAAGGTATAAATTTCTTGGCTCTAATGATTCTTTACCCGTAATCGTTTCGTCTTTGATAAATAATGTGCAGGTAAACCAATTGTTGGAAGTCTTGAAAGAACATAGGCAAGCCATTGGATAGACCATTGCGGACATTCGTGGAATCTCCGCGGGAATTTGTGAACATAAAATCCAATTGGAGAGCGAAACAATGCCAAGTGTGGAACATCAAAGACGGTTGAACCCGTCAATGCAAGAGGTAGTAAAGAAGGATAATATCAAGTGGTTGGATTCCGGGGTAGTTTACCCCATTGCCGACAGTTCGTGGGTGAGCCCAGTACAATGTGTGCCAAAAAAGGGTGGCATGACCGTGATTGAAAATGAGAAGAATGAGCTCATTCCAACGATAATTGTGACCGGATGGCGAGTTTGTATGGACTATCGGAAACTTAACAGTGCTACTTCCAAGGACCACTTACCTATGCCTTTTATTGATCAAATGCTTGATCGACTAGCGGGTAGGTCATTTTATTGTTTCCTTGATGGTTACTCCGGCTACAATCAAATCAACATCGCTTTGGAAGATCAAGAGAAAACTACGTTCACTTGCCCGTATGGCACTTTTGCTTTTAGCCGGATGCCATTTGGCTTGTGTAATGCTCCATACACTTTCCAAAGGTGTATGATGTCCATCTTCTCCGACATGGTTGAGGACTTTCTTGAAGTCTTCATGGATGATTTCTCGGTGGTTGGTGATTCGTTTGAGCACTGTCTTAACAATCTTGTACAAGTGCTTAAGCGATGCGAAAGGACCAGCCTTGTGCTAAATTGGGAGAAGTGTCACTTCATGGTTGACGAAGGCATTGTGCTTGGGCACAAAATTTCAAAGCATGGTATTGAAGTCAACCGGGCAAAGATTGAGATTATTTCTAAGCTTCCTCCACCGACCTCCATGAAAGGTGTTAGAAGTTTTCTAGGGCATGCCGGGTTTTACAGGCGCTTCATCAAGGACTTCTCCCCATGTGCAAACTCCTCGAAAAGGATGCCAAGTTTGTGTTTGATGAGAACTGTCTTAAAGATTTTGAGGAGTTATATCAAAGGCTCACCACAACACTCATTATTGTCACGCCCGATTGGTCACTTCCTTTCGAGCTCATGTGTGACGCCAGTGGTGTAGTCATTGGAGAAATGCTTGGCCAACGTCACAACAAAGTTCTCCACCCGGTGTACTATGCAAGTAAAACTCTCAATGGGGAACAAATGAACTACACGGTAACTGAGTAAGAGCTTCTTGCTATTGTGTATGCTTTTGAAAAATTCCGGGTTATTTGTTGGGGTCCAAGGTGGTGGTATACACTGATCATGCGACTCTTTGATATCTCATGGAAAAGAAGGATGCAAAGCCTCGATTAATTCGATGGGTCTTGTTGTTGCAAGAATTTAACTTCGAAGTCAAAGATCACAAGGGAACTCAAAATCAAGTGGCAGATCATTTGTCAAGGCTTGAGGAAGAAGGGAGACCACAAGGAGATCTTGAAATCAACGATGCATTCCCTGATGAGCACATATTGGCATTATCTAGCACTTTTGCTCCTTGGTATGCCGATATTACTAACTACTTGGTTAGGGACCTTATCTCGGACGGATTGGAATCTTATCAAAGAAAGAAGTTTTTGAGAGACTGCCGGCAATACTATTGGGAGGAACCATACTTGTTCCGTGTTTGTGCTGACAATATTATTAGAAGGTGTGTTCCCGAAGAAGAGGTTATGCCAATTCTCAAGGCATGCCATGACTCACGGTTGAGGGTCATCATGGAGGAAATCGGACGGCGGCTAAAGTTCTTGAATCAGACGGCGGTTGAGGGTCATCGGTTGGCTAAAGTTCCAAGAGGCATGAAATGCCAATGCACTTTGTGATGGAGATAAAGATCTTTGACGTGTGGGGAATCGACTTCATGGGCCCCTTTGTAAGTTCTTGCGGGATGAAATACATCTTGGTAGCGGTGGACTATGTGTCCAAATGGGTTAAAGCAGTTGCCTTACCAAACAATGAGGCAAGGAGTGTGACCGCCTTCTTGAAGAAAAACATATTCACTCGGTTTGGCACTCCTAGAGCCATCCTTAGTGACGGTGGATCTCATTTTTGTAACAAGGCATTCTCGGGGCTGCTTGAGAAGTATGGCGTAAAGCACAAGGTGGCCACACCTTATCATCCACAATCAAGTGGTTAAGTTGAGGTTTCCAACCGGGAGATCAAGAGCATTCTAGCAAAACCTGTGAATGCAAATAGGACCGACTGGTCAAGGAAGCTAGATGATGCATTGTGGGCGTACCGCACGGCCTACAAAACCCCTATTGGTACTTCTCCTTATCGGCTAGTCTTTGGTAAATCATGTCATCTACCCGTGGATTTGGAACACAAAGCTATGTGGGCGTTGAAAAGGTTGAACATAGATTGGGCTGAAACTGCAAATTTGAGGTTAACAAAGCTCAATGAAATGGAGGAATTTCGGTTCCATGCTTATGAAAATGCAGTTGTGTACAAAGAATGGATGAAGTTTGTCCATGACAAGAAGAACTTGAAAAGAGAGTTCAAGACGGGTGATTTGGTCTTGCTCTTTAACTCAAGGCTCAAATTGTTTCCGGGCAAGCTTAAATCAAAATGGTCCGGTCCATTCAAAGTGGTCAATGCCTCTCCTTATGGAGCTGTGGAATTAGAATCAACAGATGGGTCCCGGACATTCAAGGTAAATCGCCAATGCATCAAGCACTACTTTGGCACAGATGGGGGAAAACATTTGGTGGAGCAGCTGGCTCTCAAAGGTGGTCCATGCCCGACCATTGAGTGAAACCAAAGGAACATCAACTTCGTCGTGCCGCGACGTTAAATCAAGTGCTTTATGGGAGGCAACCCATGTGTGGTAACACTATTTTGTTTTATGAAATTTTAGTTTTTGATAGATAGATTTATTTGAGAAATTTAAAGTGTGTGTCAGAGTGCGGGGGGTTCAAAAGATAACAACAATTGGTACGAATGCATAAAAAGTGGAAGAAAAACCACTAGGTGAATTCTGTTGCACAAATGCGGTCGCATTTTAGCTATGCCGACCACACTCTAACCACAAACCTAAGCAGAGATTTGGGTTGCGTTGAGGTGGTGCATTATGTGGTCCGCATTTGATTTATGCGACCGCATTTTGCACCGCATTTGCCTCCCTTCAGCTTGGTCCTTAACCTCATCGCATAACACACATGCGGTCGCATTGTGTGTTATGCGGTGTCCTATCCATCGTAGAATCGACAAGGTAAGTCCGCATAACCATCTCGTCTCTCACTCACTTAAAACAAAACAAAAAAATGAAAAAAGGGGGAAGAACACGAACGGACTTTGAACCAAATCAAGCTCAAATTGTGTGCAACCAAAGGACTACATTTGTCACACTCATTGTCCCAGTCATCAAACTCTGCTGGTATGTACCTGTTTCTCCCTTGTTTTATCTTTGATTTCCACTGTAGGTTCAGAGATTTTTCGTTTAAATCCTGTGCAAAAATGTGTTTAGATGCTTGTGTAGTTGCTTCTCTGTAGTGTAGATGCTTTTGGGTTGAAAATAAATTGGGGTATGGGGTAGAATGAAATAGGACCACCATTGTTGAAAGCTTGGGTGACCTGTGTAGAAGAAGGCATCTGCGGCCCGCATTGTGACGCATTTTGGCCGCACAACTAAACCCTAAATCTTCTGAAGAAGATGATGAAATGCGGTGTCTTTGCGATCGCAGATTTGACATGCAAACCACAAATTCACCGCAGAGTGATACAGAGATTTCAGTTTTGAACCATATAGCGATGTCAATTCTGCGATGGTTATGCGGTCCGCATAGTAGTTATGCGACCGCATAACTCACCGCAGAATGAGAACACCTATTGGGACTACAAGATCTGCGACAAGTCTGCGGTCCACATTATGGTTTTGCGATTTCATACCAGATCACATTTTCTTTCTTCCTTTTGATTCATCTGTATCTTCTCCGTATTGTTAATGATGTCACTCACTCTTCACCATTGTGCAGATATGGGTCAAAAGAGACGCTCATCAAAGCGGGCTTCCACCAGTAAGCGATCGCGGATAGAGGACAACGTGTCGAGCCCCTCCCAGTCTAAGGCGGAGAGATCAGGCCCTCAATCAATATAGAGGCTGAAGATAGAAGGAAACGAGGTGAAGATTTCCAGCTCTGATTTGGGGTTGATGGGTCCAGGGAGGTATTTAGAAAAGGGCTCACAAAGTGCAAAATCCTGGGCGAGAAACAATTGAGCTTGAACGGGCTCAAAGACAAATACCCCCATATCCTGGAAAACATAAAAACACGGAGATGGGAGAACTTCACTGAGCCACCCACGGAGTACAATGAGACCCTTGTGACGGAATTCTATGCATCCTATGGGGCCTCTAGGACGA